GACCTCGCCCTCCTCCCGCGGCCCCCGGGGGTGCTGGGGTGCGCAGCGGACCGCGGGGAGGCGTGACTTAGCCGGGCGCGATCGCGGCGGGGACCCGGGCGCGCGGGCGAAGCATCCCGCGGCCGCCCCGCCCCCGGCCCCCGCGCGCCCCCGCCGCCGCGCGGCTCTCCTTTCCTCCTCCACCCGCTGAGGGCGGGGTGGAGGGGAGTCCCGAACACGCAGAGCTTGGTCATCGTCGTCCCCCGGATTCCCGAGGACCCCCGAGCGTGCCAGGCCCGGGGACACGGCCGACGCGCGCGCAGCGCAGGGATGACTGCATGCACACACACACACACATACACACACGCACACACGCGGGCACGCACGCGGAGCTAGCGCATCGGTGTCGGGGAAACGCGGTGGCCCGAGGCACGCGGAGCCCTGTGCAGCCGCTGGAGACGCAGCCCGTGGATCCCGTTCTGTCGTCACCAGCTGAAAGGGAATCCCGGCCGGGGGCGGGGAGGGATGGGAACTGAGGATAATTTTAAATGTTCTGTCTTTCACCTAGTCTGGAGCTCACCTCCTTGGAAAGGTAGATAGAAAATACTAACGCAGCGAATGTTTTATAGTCAGGCGGTGCAGGGGCCGTCTGAGAAGCCCGGATTTGGGGGGGGGGGGGGGGGGGGTAGCATGAAAAGAACAAATCCATTGATGTAATAAAAATGTGAACTGGACGCATAGCCCGTTTTTGGGTGCGGTATACCAGATGACTAGGCTAAGCTAGGAAGGTTTCGCTGCTGCATGATTCCTGTTACATCCAAAATGGAGGACCTACCAAGACTGCAGGAGTCCATTCAAAAGTTTGCTGTTCCATATAAAATGGGCTGCGAGTCTAAAAAGACAGTTGTGAAGGCTGGGAATGCACCTTCAAGTGAAAAGCGAACATACTACAGTCATCCTTGGTCAATTCTTGACTTGTCTGGAGAAGAACAATTTATCCTGTTTTAACTATGAAAAGCCTCCTGGTTTCAGGGCTCAACAAAGACAGTTTGCTTTTTTGGAAGGATGCCCTGCAAAGAAGCAGTGACCTGGAGCTGTGGCACAGGACCAGGGTGGCCTCGGGTAGTAAAAAGCACGGTGCCTCTGTCCTAAACATGGTGTACTTGAAGAGCACTAATTTCCACCCACATAACTAATTACAGCTTGCCATCACAGAGCATTTTATTCAAGGATCTCCAAGGACTGAAGAGAAAACAGCCTTGTCAGTCAGATGTCCTTGTGGCCGTATTACCAGAAGAGACAGGGAAATGCACATCTCAAGCAACCCCGTGCATTGTTAGTACAATAGCCATGATTAGAAAACACCGTGGCCAGGAGGTGCGCTGTCTTTGTGTCAACTGCTGTAGTTTAAAATGCTCGCACCTCGAGTTAAAGAACTTTTACTGTGGGTGCCTTTACTCTTGGAAAAAAAATTAATGTATATTCAATTGTCATGGGGAAAGAATCAAGACACATATTCAAGCGCAAGTCGCAGCAGCTTTCCTGAGTTCATTCATCCCAATAAATGCAGCAGTAAGAGCAACAGATCTTATGTTTCAGATAAAAGTCTTAACAGAGCCAAACGAGGTGGAGATACTGCTGTAATGACTCAAACCATCTCTTGTCAGAGACAAGAAACACGAATAAAAATTCCTTGCAGATGACGCCATAACCTGCTTCTCATTTGTGCTAGTTAATCCATCCTGATGTGAATAAATTGTATAGGACCATTATCTTTAGCCTTACAGCAAATGTCCTCGTGGTATGAGTACCAAATTAAGAGATCCAAGAGGAAAATGCTATTCTTGTTTTCTGTGTTTATTAAAAATGTACCAGCCAAGAATGTTGGCTGCCTACACCCATTTCCATCCTTTTGAATGGCAGCCTGCCAGCTCACAGGCTGGTCACACCATTGCCTTTGGATTTAGATCTTGCATCGACTAGCCTGACCTCCAAAGGTCATTTTGTGGAAGGGTAGTTTGTTAGCTCTAACAAAATATTACTTCTTGTTCATATTTGGTCTAACACTGAAAGAGGGCAAACAGGGAACAAGCTCGAGACAGACTAATTCTGGTCACGGGGTTGGGGGGAACATTATGAATGTGTTACTATCTGGTATAAAAGAATTTTAGAGATGGCAGGAATCACAATCATTCTTAGTAAGAGGAGGGTGAGAGCCAGAGAGGGTAAGTAACTTGTAAGTTGTCCTGCAGCGCCTGGTAATAGAACTGAAACTCAAACCCAAGCTTAGGGCCCCCATCCACATTTCCACCTCAGACTGTGTTCCTAACACCAAGTACATGGGTCTTGGCTTTCCCTCGCAGAGACCTTTTACCCAAGTTTGGTGTGGCAGATTGACCCATATGAGCAGTGTGCATTCAGATGGAAATGAAAGCCTGTTCCCAGGCGTGCTACTGGAGTCAGCCTGGCTCTGAGGCCTTCCCCAGAGCAGACCTTGTTTAAATTCATCTGATAGCATCAGTAGGCTTGTCCTCCATTTATGGACATGAGGAGGATGAATGACTAATGCTACTCCACAGCCAGAAAATGACTGTTAAGAGCTGAAGGCCTTCCCCTTCCTCGTTCCCTAAAAGAAAGTTCTCCCTGGAGTTACCTGGGATGGACGAAAACGGAAATTAACTTGGAGTGAACTTTATGCTTATAATTGTATGTAGCAGTACTGTATTTTTTTTTTTTCTTTTTGGCATTTCACAGTGAAATGTTTGTCTCCCCCAACCCCACCCCAAGTGCTGGGAAAATAATGTAGTACATGGCATTCCAGTAGGATTCAAGGTGTTTTTATTACTTCTCCTCCAGCCTTAGCAACTCATGTATAATCTCAGTTCAAAAATACTATCCGGAGACATGGGGAGAAACTATTGGCCTCTCCGCCATTTACATTTCTTCGCATTTGTCATCTGCCTCCATTTCTCATCCCTCTCCCTTCTAAACTGGGATTTATTTTATTAACTTCACTTCTTCCTTTCCAGAGTCTTTCTTTCTTTAGCTTGACAGTTTAGACTTGGCAGATGATTCCCATAGCCAAAATGGAGTTATGTGATTTAACTGGTAGAGGTCATATTCTAGTTGATATTTCTACAAATTTCAGCCATAAATGCATCAATCAATCCATTTCTAGACACTAATCAAGCCACCATGCTTTAGAAAATGGTTACAAACAAGTATAATCATAATTCTAAACTTTTATCCCTTATTTTCTAAAATCTGGCAGATAGCCTGATTTTGGGGGTGGGGGAGACAAAGTGTGCTTTCTTACAGTGAATTGACTTCTATTTACTCTACTCAATAGACTACCAGGAGGTTTTCATGGATATTATGGGCAGGTGACAAATGACCTTGGAGTATTTTCTCAAAAGGTGATGAAACATCAGTGAAGATTATCTTCTGGCTCATCCCAGCAGAGAAGAAAGGTGGTGCCACTAGGGTATATCCCGAACAAATTTCCCCCAAGTTGACACACACTGTTTAACATTTTTGCTTTTGTAGCTTTTTCTCTGTCTTTCAGGTGAGGTTCACAGCTCATTAAAAATCCCAATTTTTCATTTCTATTTGGAAAAAAAAATACGGTCACTACCATGATAACCTGGCCAAGTTCTACTTTGAAAATTATCTTCACATTGGTGTGGTGCAGGCCTGCTATCTCAGTACTCAGGAAGTAGAGGAGGGAAGATCAGAAGCTCAGTGTCATCTGCAATAACAGAGAAGTCCAGGATGAGGCCAGCCTGGGCTGTTACCTTTAACTAATCTTTAGTGGCCCCTCAAGATGAAGTGAGCAGCAATACTGGACTCTATCTATCTAGAGAGCTGGAGCCCTTTCCTGCCTGAATACTGTACTTGTAAATGAACTGAGCAGCAAAAGAAAGAAAGAAAGCAGAACAAGAAAGAAAGCCAAAGAAAGAAAGCAGAACAAGAAAGAAAGCCATTGGAAGCTGGGCATGCTGGGTTTGATTGCCTAGCACTGAAGAAGAAGAAGACGAAAAAAGCCCTAAAGGGAAGAATTTTGGTCTCATTTCTATCCTTTGTAACAAATACTGCTTTAATGGGATTGGACAGAGACACGCTTCATATGTGAGAAGAATTTGCAACCCGTAAATGAGAAAGACCAGTTCCATAGCCCACTGTAAAAGAGCCCTTCTATTTCATTTTACTTCCTCTGATTAAAACAAAAAAGGAGTTCAAACATGCCTGTAATCCCATCACTTGGGAAACAGAGGCAGGAAGAGCAGAAGTTCAAAGTCATATTAAGCTACAGGAGCAAGATTAAGGTAACCTGGCCTATGTGAGATCCCATCTCAAAGTAGAGAAGGGAGGACAAACAGTCAGGGGGATGGATGAGGCCTGGGAAAGGAGAGAGTTAGAGTATAGCCTGTCATGCTTAAGGTCCTGGGTTCAGTCTCCTGCAGCAGGAAATAAAAAGAGACAAAGAGCTTGAAGTTCACTTAGGAAATGTA